AATCCGTGATGGATGGAGCTCGCCAAACAGAGATCAACACACTGGTTGACACAAATCTCGCAAAACAAACTCAAAACTCGAGTTTCATATTTTGACTTGCTCGATGGTACTAATCAAACTTGCACACAGCAATCCGTGATGACCACTGCCGCGATAGTGTCGGGGACACGTATCTTGGCTAAACAAGTTGGAAGCAACCTATCGAGGGGCAGGTGCTAACCCGCTGCGCTGCAACTGCAAACAAGGATGTGCATTGCCAAGGAACTGCTTGATGTCAACCGCAACCATATCTTCAACCAACAAGGTTCCCCATGAAAAGTGCACGTTCAACCTCGGTGATGCTCATGCAGGCAACTTGCGGCGTGTCCTTGCCACGCCACACACAGACCTAGACCAACCCTTCTGGCAAGTGCAATACAGTACACGTCCCATCAATACAGAACTTGATGCCGCCATGCTGCCATGGCTGGTTTCTACCTAGGCACCCTTTAAGGGGGTTCACTTCTGTGGGAGCAAAAAGGCTGGAGCTGAAGATCGTCCGTTCTATGCAAGGTTGCTTGTGAGTCCTGTCTTCAGCCTATGTGAGCGTCCAAGTCGCGTATCAAATGGTCCCTCCGCACTGTAGCTATTTACGATATCCGATTCCAGCTGAAAACCACCCTGCCGCAACATTGGTGGGTGTTTCCCAAGACTTGGGGGCCTTTGGGGGCCTTTGTGTGCGTGACAAAAATCAAACAACAAGAAAAGTGGCGGTCAGGTCCCCCAAACCCAGCTCGGAGTTTCTTCGTGCGATGTCCACCTCGCCCCTTTCGCTCCAAGACCCGCGCCTTGATGCCCTCCAAGGCATACCTGGCCACCGGACCATCGAAACTAAGACGCAAGTGAGTCAAATCAAAACCCGGTAGTAAAACAATCTACCCAGAAACATGTAAAGGATTAAGAAGCCGGCCGCAACCATTTATGGTTGGGATTGCCCCACTAACCTCCATCTACCCGGGTTTTCAGTGTAACTCAAGTGCTTGAGAGCAGTGGGCGAGCAGTCAACGTCCCTACCCTTCTAGCTTCCAGGCGTGACGCGTCCAAGATAAACCTTCCTCAAGCTTGAGCAACTGAGCTTGAGGCAACAGCACATGCCTGATGGAACACAGTTGGCGGGGTGCACAAAGCTGGTGGCATGCCAGACTTCATTGTTGATGAGATGCGCACTTGTGATTTGAACTGGCATGTTGGACAAATGCCAGGCAAGTTCTACGCCAATTAGCACGTGAGAAACAGCATTGTTCCAGAGCATTCTCCCCCTTTTAGTGGCTGCTAGACAAGCCGAGTGGAAGCCTCTCCTCCAACTACATTCGAACCGCAACCAGGGGAACAAAGCAGAAGAAACAAAACGAGAGTCTCTCAAATCCCCATCGTGCGCCCCGTCCTGGTGTAGTCCGTCCAGGTTTCGAAGCCCTTCGGGATCTGGCGGCCTTTCAGTCCTCGAAGGCCCGGCAATCTGCAGGGACTGGGGTTGAGCAGGGCTAGCGATCCACTTTCTCGCTAGTGATCCCTCTTCCAAAAAAAATGCCAGGCAGCTTCCCATCCTAATGCTTGTTTGTCTCTGTGAACCTGTGAACCTGAGCTGGGCAATAGCATGGCCTTCTGCCTTCGGTTTGGCACCTCAAAGCTGGCGATTGCTCACGGAGTGCAAAGCTTCCCGCCTTTCCAGCCCTTGGATTCGAAATTCTCAGCCGTCACGCCCGTCCTCCGTGCAGCTTTGCCCCAAGCGAGCTCGAAAAACACAGCACACGGCACAAAACCAGCTAGATCTCACATGTCCATCCGTCTATGAAAGGAGGGGTAGCAAAGTCAGCATCAACTGTCCCTGTTTGGCGCTGATCCAAGCGGGCATGCTCTGCTCCACTCGTTGAGGGTCTTCGAGGGTATCCACACCTTCCACCCACCTGAGCTTCGCTCCTAGCGGACTCGACGCCTTCCTTGGCGGCGCACAGCCCAAACCCCAATTGACTTTGGGTTCTACCAACATAATTGTCATGGTGTGTTATTCACCTTGCTCTAATCTCTATATGAAATGAGGTAGTTGAACCAGCTAAAACCGATGGGGGGGTTGGGCGCCGCTCAAATGGCGCTTGCATGTTTGCATCCATTTCCGCTGGCGCTTGCTCATGCCTGTGGCAAGCAGGAAGGAGTGTACTGATGAGCCTCAAGCAAGTGCTCGTGCATTGACCAAGACCCCTATTGGGAAACCCCGCCGCTTTGTGGCTCCAACGGTGTCACTCTCTTTCCCCTCTTTGAGACTGATAGCGTGTGAATTGGGGTTGTTGTTGGATAGGATCATAAAGAAATTAATTATGAGTTGCAGCCGGATCGCGGACTATTGCAATTTGCCATCCAACAAATACTTGCATGGTGTATGTGTGCTTGGTTCTCAAAACGTATTATTGAGTCTCTTAACGCATAGAAAGGATCGTTACATCTCCCCGCTTTTCTGTGAAAGGAGGGAGCATACCAGCGGCCCCTTCAAGGGAAAACAAGGTATGCGGTCCTGCAAGCCTCAAATGGTGAGCCTTTCACAGCGTCGAGCAGTATGTTTCGAGTCCTTCTTGCTGTGCTTACAAATTCAAAAACAAATGGAAAACACCCGTTGGGAGGGTACCCGTATTTGGAGACAAGCCCATTTTTTGACAGCTGCCTTTGCAATTGTGCCGTCCAAGTTGCTGCCCGCCGCGTGGTGCCTGAAGCCGCATGAGCCCCATCGAGACATAAGACTACAATGAAAGCAACATGTGGATTTGGAGGCTGATGCTGCCTCATCCTGACTGTAACAACACCATGAAGATCTCCGAATAGGACCTCTTTGGAGAGAGTGATGGAGGGAAACCTTTCTCTCAGGCATACCAACATGAAGCCTAGCCGGCTTCTCATAGCAGGATCGATCTTGCTTGATGTGAAGGAGGACACGGAATTGCCTTGAAAAAATGCACTGCGCGAGCAAGCATCTGCTTTTGAAGTTGGGCTCTGTCACTACAGTCACTAAAGTTGCTGATCCACATCCTGCTACAGTAGAATCTGTTGCTTTCACCGTGGACCTCCCAAACAGAACTGCTTGATCTTTGTGCTGAGGCCCCCAAAATCATCCTAGGTTGCAAATGACGTTGGCCTGCCACAGAATTTGTCAAAGAGGCGCGCCCAAGACTAAACTGTGCTGCGGCACAAAAAAAACATAGCAAGAGACATCCGACACAAATCCGTCTCGACTCCAAACTCCCACGCTCAGCGAATTTCTTACAGATCTCCACCATTCTCGTTTTGACATCTGAGGCACATGGGGCATGGGAAGCAGGTCCTCCGCAAAGGGAACAGGCGAGTGATGCTTTGCGGTTTGTCGAAACATCCAGCTCCCTAAAAAAAACGTATCTCTGCCAAGCTGCGGCTTTCCGGCTGTTGTGAACCCAAACCTGGCAGGCGGAGCCATGAACGCTTGCACATGAGGCATCCAAACCATCGAATTGGGTTGCTACAGAATCTTCTATTCCAGGTGACGAATGGCTCAAGTGCCAGGCTGGAACCGAGGACCCGGAACTGTATGCAGAAATCGTGGACCCTGTAGCTCTTATGTTTCAGGCGGCCAACTTGGGGAGGTTCAATTGCATGGAATCCGCATAAACACCAAGTAAAAAATAATTTGAAGCCAATTGACAGAGCATTGCGCGATGTAATTAATGCGTGTTTTGTGCTGGTTGGGTGATCCGCTACGAGGTACGAGCAACAGCAACAACTCTTCCAAGCAATAACTTTGGCTCCAACCCTCAATTTGTCCTCATGCAACGAATCATGCCAAGGCTGAGTTGAGCATGAGTCGTTCAGCTCAGAAACTGTGGCAAACAGCAACCACGTCGCGACAAATAGCATGTGAGAGTATCCCGGCAAACCAGGAAACAAAGAAACTCGTAATGTAGATTACTCAAAGGCTCCTACGTTCAAGCCGTCCGCCGTCCAAGCCATCCAAACTGCAACCGTGAGCCTTGCTATTGCTACCGTCCAACCTGTCCACATCTTAGATCTGGTTTCAGCAGAACGAGGTGAGCGCGCTTCCCAGAGAGACGTCGGCAGCCGTGCCTGCAAAGTTCAGGACGCCGCCGGCGGCCAAGGCCTCGGCTGCAAAATTCTGGGGCGTTTGAACTGCGCAAAATGTGCTCTTTGCCCAGCCAGTTGGAAACATAAAGCTGCAGCTTTGGCCCTGACGACTATGCTTCCCGTTTTGGGGACAGAGTCCTTCTAGCATCGCCTTGCCTGGAAGGTTTGAGAAAGAAAGCCCTGTCATTTGTAGCGTCCAGCCCCCCGCCCACTGGGTGGCTGGCAGCAATGAGCGCAGCCCGGCTGAATCTGGCCGGGTGTGGCATCCACAGCACAAAACACCAGAGGCACTGTTTGCGGCAGGCGCTTGATCAGACTTGCCAGTCCGGGCGAAACCGCTGCTCTTTGCCGACTCTTTGCTCGATAGTTTTTGCCTAAAAGTCACCCCGAACCAAGAATCCGTTCAACAACCACGCTCTCCTGGATCGCTCCAAGGCAGCCATGGCTCCGACATATGCAGGCCCACAGGCACAGCGTCACATGGGAGAGCCAATTCGTTGCTTGAAGTCCATGAATGCTCGGGTAAGGTGCAATGGCGCAGACTGACCATGGAGAGTCTGGGTGTGTGTGGCCGGAAACACAAAGCTGTTGTGGGATGTCGCGCAGGGCCTGGCCAAGGCTTCTAGGACTTTGCTGCTGGATGTTTGATCCTTTGATCCTCAGCAGAACTGCCAAACTTGAAATGATGTACTCTGCTGTCTGGGAACTGAGCCATGTTGCAGTCAGCGCACCAAAACTACGGAGGGGCTGATTGTCGCTGCCTGTGAGTCTTGTCAAGCATCATGATAATCAGAATCAGGTTCACATTTCAGTGTCGTTAAATATTATACGCAGACTTCCATGCTCGTGAAAAGGTGGCTCGCATCTCCTTCAGTTCGAACTCTCTGCAAAAGAGAAGCCGAATCCATCGCAACAGGAAGACCTGCGCCTCGATGTCCATCCTGCAACAAAAAAAAAGGGGGGACAAAAAAACAAGGCTGTTCATGAAAAGGCAAACTGCGGCCAGCTGGTGACTGGCAGCGATGCGGGAATGAGTTGACAAACAACTCAAGATCCTTGTTTCAATAAAAAAGCTTGAAATCCGAGTGATCACTCACATTGGCCTTTCGGGCAATCAAAGCGGTTGAGGGCGGCTCCTTCCCTGAATCTCTTCTGTCTCTCCATCCCTTCCAGCCTGCACTTGGGAGTGACAGGAAGGGAAGCGCGAGCTGCTATTGGTGACTATTGGGCAATTCTGCTCACATGGTACAAAAGTATTTGATTTCAGGCCCGCTTGCCGCAGAACCCCTTGTTCGAATCTGCGGCGCACTAGTTGTCATTGATCTGTCTGGCCATTACAAAACGCTAGTGGCTTCAATCCGCCGGTGCTTCCAATACACAGCTGCTCACCTACCAGACTTACACACAAACCATTCAAGTCGTGCGGCTGCACAACTGAGCCAAAACAAGATGATCTGCCAACAAAGCTTTGTCCGCTTCCAGCTAGATGCTGAGATTAACCTTACCCTTCGTGCAGAAGATTTGAGGCGTTGCCAGCCCTAGGCTATCGCTGTTTGCAACCAGGTCAAAAATGATCCGAAGTCTGCCTTTCATGTTCAGGATGGCCATACTTTTGGTGGCGTCAGTTTCAGGGCCAGAATATGTTCTGCGTGCTTGCTCATCCCCACCCCAGAGCAGGCACCTGAACCCTGCCATGCCTCTTCAAGTGATCGAAGAGCTCTGAATCGACAGCGCGAACCACCTTCAATATCTGTGGTGTTTGCAAGTTGGCGCTCAGGAATGCGCGTTGTCACCACTGCTTTGCCAGAAAAAGAAGTCATGGAGTGGGCCAACATTGGCAGCAGATCCGTGAACTAGTCTGCATGGTCCATCACGATTCCCGCCAAGCGTTTGGCCTCCGAAACAAAAAGCACGAGCGGCCCCGCGCAAGGCGGCTAGTCTGGAGCAAAAATGTTTCAAAACGCAGGGATCAAAAGGGTGGTTCTTATTTAGGAGCTGTTTTGGGTTGCCTGGCAGGATCGGAAGCACGCCGGAAGTTCAGCGGCTTCCGCCCCAAACTGTGGTTGCCCAAAAGACTAAAACCGGCTGAGCTAGCACCTTCCACCCTTCGCTCACCGCCTGCTCAAAGATGTACTGGCAGCGCGCCAGAATCGCCGACCCTGGCGCGCCTGCCGTGAACAACCAGCACCTTCGACCATGAGGGGTCTTATCCTCGCCCACCTTTCTTGCGGGGGATCACCACAACTCTTCAACACCTAGGAAGTATGCAAGATTTTCTTTCAGACCCAAGGTCATGTGACTCAAAACCCATGCCACAGCTGCCCTGAAGCAAGGCCCCACCTACTAGTTCTTGTGGCCTTCGCCTGCCCCACCAGACACAGCCCCAATGCAACTCAGTCCAGCTTGCGCCAGCTAAACCTGAGCGCTATTTTCTCACAAGCAGGACTGCCGGCCTGGAGACTGGCGCTCCTTTTTGACGCTGATTTCTCTGCTCTCCCACCACCGGGAAAGGCGACATCTCACGCGCCCTTGGCGGCTGCATTGAACGCGTTCCTTTTTCCATCGGGCGCTTGTAGCTCAGCTCTTAGCTCTCAGCTCCCAGTTCCTAGCCAAACTCAGCTACCAAACTCAGTCCAAGCCTCACCCCAGCCCCTAGCTCGTCATGCCCAGCCCAGCTCAGCTCATTCCAGCCACCTCGCGGTCGGCCCCCGCTGCTTGACTGTAAGTTCCTGGCAACCACTTTGCGCAGACTGCTCAGCTAAGCCAGTATCGCTTGCTCGAGCAAGCATTGGCCTTACGATTTGCTGTTCTTTTGAGCCTGGCCGAGGCGGGCAGCGCGCAGCGTTTACAATAAATGAGTACTGAAAAGAACTGAGGCAACAAAAGTACCGGAAACACATTTGCATGTTCATATTCCCCTCCCCTTTCAAGAAACCAGTTGGCAAGGATATTGGAAACGGAGATGGAGCCCGTATCGACCTTTGCAAAAAATGAAAGCTGGGCCTTCTGCAATGGTTCCCTTAGTTGTTTTCTTTGGTCCCGCACCTGGATCAGCTGCCATCCGTGAACCTGGGCTCACAAAATGTGGCAGATTTAGGCTTCGGGCTTGAGGGGTTGAGGGTTGTCAGGAAGTTCGAGGCTAGGGTTCTTGCTAGAGTTTGCACGTCTCTGTCTCTGTTTGCCACGAGCAGCGCACGCAGGGCTTCCGGCGTGGCAGATCCCCGATGGGCGAGCGGTTCGGCCGCGAATTGGACGGAGCCAGGAACATGGGCCGGATCCTGGCCATGCGTGATCCGAATGCCGCCAGAAAGACATTGGATGGTTCGGATTGGTTCAGAGTGATGCTTTCAAAAAGCCCAAGCTGCAATTTTGGAGGTCAGTTGACGCCATGCAGCATGTATACACTGGCGTTCATCTCCCAAATAGGGCCTTGCCTGGAGGGGTTGCACATGAGCACCGTCAGTGCATGCGCAAAGATGAGCAATTGCAAGCGTGGAGTGTTCGTTTGAGTAATGCCAGTTCGAGTTTGAGTGGCGTTCAACAGTGGGTGGAAAATTGGACTCAGGTGTACCTCCCGGCTGCTCAAGACAAGCAATGACCATCAAATTGTTACCTGACCTACGAGGCGATTCGGATTGGCACAGTCCAAGACTCTTTGCAAGTGGACAACCCCCAAGTGTGCGTGTGCGAGACTGGGTGCGTGAAGACAAGCTGCTCGGTCCGTTTGGTCAATGCTGACTCTCTAGCACACCATGCGGCCACCCAGTCTCCGCCAGGGTGGCCCCTTGTTCATAAGGTGGACGAAGCAAGCAAAGGCATCGGCCTGGAGTGTAGTGCAACGACGCATGAAACGCGTCTGATGCCTGGATCTCAGACCCCTTGTGAGTAGTGACTGGGTAGAAATGATCTATTCTAATATTTCTGTACGGGGCGTGCTAGCGCTTGTGGGTTGCTGCACACGTCGCACGCTCAAACGCGTGGGGACACTATGATGAATTTGCCTGTGCAAGCCTGGCTGGATGTCCAAGACTGTGCTTCATCCAAGAATCAAAGATCTTAAGAAATTATACGTATCCCCAACGCGAGTGTGCCAATCGTCAAATTCAGCTCACGAGCATGCATGACAAAGGTCAAATCAACAGAGTCTGTCAGGACACCACGCAGTTACAGGTGAGTTTTTCAGCTAACCAGTTGAACATGAGAGGCACAATCAAAACCCGGTACAAAAATGGTGAACCCAGAACCACGCAAAGGATTGAGAAGGCGGCCGCAGCTGTTTAGGGTTGGGATCGTCCCCTACTAACCTTCATCTACCCGGGTTTTGATTGTGGCTGATGAGAGATGCCCAGGGGTACCAACCACGCCAGGGTCAGTCTGGAATATCCACATTCTTCTACAGGTCCACAAGCCCTGACACCATGTTTTACTGCTGGGTCGCCTGCTGTGGCTCATGCTCAAATGCTGACAGTTCTGGGTTGGGATGTTGACATGCGAGCTGCAAGAGTGCTGCCGTATTCGCCTGCAATCTGTAGGGATGTTGCTTCGTCTTCTTCTACTTATTTTTCTTCTTCTGTACTCTGTCCTCTTCTTCTTCTTCCTCCTCTTCTTCTTCTTCTACTTCTTCTTCTTCTGCTGTTTCTTCTTCTGCTGTTTCTTCTTCTGCTTCTTCTTCTTCTTCTGCTTCTTCTTGTTGGTCTTGTTGGTTGTTGGCCCAGCTTGGGTTCAGCATGTCCACTTGCAAACCAGGTTAGTCTTCCAGCGAAAATAATGCCGCTGTGCCATGCTTACAGGTCTTTCGACTCACATGCGTCTGTCAGGTAGGCATCAGATAGGATCGCCACCCACTTGGCTATGCTGCAAAGACCAGCCTACCATTTTGCTCCCAGAAAACAAATGTCCAAACGGCGAAAGGTCCGCTCCGTTTCTCCGCCTCGTTGTGCTGGCTGCCGCACAGCCGGGCACCTAAGGCCTGGCATCGAGTTCGTGAGGTGGGCGGTAGACTGGCGCGTCACCTGCCACCTTGACAAGTGGAGCATCAAAAAGTTTGAAAAGAAACATGGGTGAGGCTTGAGAACCCCCGCAACTCAAGGCAGTTCTAGTACCTGGCCAACCTGATGACTCGTTGCTTCCCTTGAGTCTTTGGCCAAACGGGAGTCGGCAAACACCGGACTCGGAACACTGCAGAATTCAATCCAGCAACATGGTTTAGGCTTACTCGTAAATCGAGAGCATGGATGGCATTTTGATCTGCCTGTGACGCCTCCCACATCACGCAGAAGACACTGCCATACACTAAGCTTGTCACCTAGTGGACTTGCAGAGTTGTGTCGCCAAGCATTCCCAGTTCTGACTGCCAGCCTCTGGGTCAGAGCCTCTGCTGTACCTTGGCTGTGAACATGTCGGTTCTGGGTTGTGTCCCAGATGATCCGACGAAGCCAGGTCTTTTGCTTTGCAACCAGCATTGAAGCTCTTCAAGTTCACTCGTGTTGCCCAGAACAGGTTGTGTCATGTAACATATATACGTGAGCAATTGGTAAGCATCGACGCCTACCATCATCCAGTTCCAACCGAAATGAAAGGACGCGGCCGCCAGTCACAGAGTTGGGCTTCAAAGCAAAGCTTCATGTTACATTCCATATCATTACTTTGTTGCTGATAATTCTCTGCCTTCAGCTCTGCCGCTCCCTCCCAACCACCTGAGGTCTTGGCTCACCCTGCTTCGTAACCGAGTACAGCACCGCAGCCAGCTCGTTCATGCCTCTGCTTTTGCCGGCGGGCATCCGAGGCTGCTGGGGGCCTCTCTTCACAACGGACCGCAGGGGAAACAGGCGGAAACCGCACAACCTTCGCAGGTAGCTCTCGGTGGCACTGCGAATTCCCCAAATGCTGCAAGTCAAGTTCACTTGTCGCACAGAAGCCAACAGCAACTCTTGGCCCAATCCCAGGATCCATCTGTGGCAGGCACCCTGCCGGTAGCTGTCAGAGGCTGTGAGGGAGGGGTTCTTGGAGCGGCACCTTGGCGAACGCAGCCGACGTCTTCTTGGGGCCTGGAGGAAGGGAAGCGCAAATTGAGGCCCGGGCGGTTCAGAATCTGGGGGGTTGGGACCCCGGTTGCGTTACTCATCGCTAAACAGCTCTCGATTTCCAGCTGAGTGAGCTGGTGTGCTCACCACAATAGAAATACTCAGCTGGGGCCAGTGGACGCGAGACGAAGGGACCAAGTACACATGTTTGCCCAGTGTGTGGGAGGGGGCAGACTGCTAAATCAAACAATGTTCATCCTCAGGTAAAGGTGCAGCAATTCATCCTCAGGTGGAGTCGCTGCAACTCGCATCAGCTTGTGATACATCATGTAGAATCAAATCAAATATAAATCCCAGAACCCAGAACGTGCCATCCTTGACCATGACTCTGAAGAAGTCAACTCGAATCAGGTTTCTAGCATGTTTCCAAGTACACGATGGCTTCCTGTCTGGGAACTAGATCTGCCTCTGTATACATCGCTTGCTGACGGGCAAAGATTCAAACGAAGTCATCTGGATCATAGCCAGTGGCAGTGGACCTCTAAAATACCACCAGCAACTGTGCAACCTTAGGAGGCACATCCCACCCATTGCCTGTGCACCCGTACCAATGGAAGAGGATTCGCTGTAGCACCTAGCCATGGCGGGTCTCTGTGCGCATTCAAGGGGCAAAGAAGGGGAAACAATAGTTCAAACAGCGCCAAGACACCAAGACTCCAAGACGCCAAGACGCCAAGAAACAATAGTTCAACAATAGTTCAACGACGCAAGTCTTTCGCATACCCGAGAACCATCAAACAAAACTCATTCACGGGCAAGCCCAGCTTACAACCAACAACAAGCACAACCTCCACGATGCATGTCTCTGTTGGAAGCGCCACCTGGGGTGGTGCCCTTGCGGCCACAGTGATTATCATTCCATGTGCCGTGCTCAAGCAAGAGAGTCTGTTACTTGTTGAAGCAACTTGCTGGTTGCTGATGAACTGCCATCATGATCAATGACAACGGAGTCCATCCCTATGCTTCACCCCCATCTGCCTTTCTGCTCTCCGCGGAGGAAAGAAACTCGCACTCCTTGGTACGGAATGGGCTGCTGCTAAGCGGTAAGGATGCCTGGCCCATCTTGACTGGACAATCTGTGGGCAAAAGAACAGAGAGAGAGAGAGAGAGAGAGAAAGAGATTCGAGGAAGGAACCAGCGGAATGAACACGAATAGGCCCACCAACAAACAAATGTACTGGAATGACAACGGTTGCGACAGCTATCATGCAAAAGCCTTAGTGATGCTGTGTCCTGTCCTTTGGCACCTCATCCAGTATCAGACCCCTAAATTCAGCTGTGCTCAATGGGACGGTTCGAAATGTCAAACGCCGCGACGCCGCGAAAAATCTCAGTCAAAATGCTCCGTTGAATTCTGCCCGGTTGCTTGTGAAAGAACACCACCCAGAATTGAGCACCCTCGATTAATTGCAAGGAATGTTTCAACGGTGCTAAAGTTGTCGGCCAGCAAGCCTGACTCTGGGTGCACGTGCCGGAAAGGTGCGCTCTACATCCTTCCAGATCTCCTTCAGCAATTCCTCATTCACCTTTCAGCAAGGATCTTAAGGAAAGCGTGACTGAATTGAAAAACAAACTTTGGGAGCTTTGTGGGAGCAGTTGCTGCAATTTCGGCCCATCATCCGCATTGACTGCTCAAGCTCCACTTCCTAGCCTGTGGCTTTGGGTCTCTGCGTCACGTCGTTGTTGTCGCTTGCTATTGACAGCGTTTCTGCTTGCTGCTTGTGGCATCTGCTCGTCGTCGCAGCCATGTCATGGGCATGACATGAGTCACAATACGTGATGTGGCACATCACACGCGTGGAACTGCAATGCTTGATGGAGCAAAGTGCATGATAATGCAATTCATAGGGCCGCGCGGCTTGGAATGTACAGGGGGGGGACCAGCTTGCGATGGCCGTCTCATCTCGGGTGGCTGAATCACCAAGAACTGGCCTGAATCTTCAAGTAGGGGTTGTCCGCATTGCGGGACCTCAGCCAGGTTGACAATTCTTTGCAAGGACATCCCGGTGCCAAGGTGGCCAAACTCGCTTCATGGATGCACGTTGGAGGTAGAAAGATTGACATCTGAAGCGTCCAGCAAGCCTACCCCACCTATTGGGAGGGATGCGATTCAAAGACTCCCTCTGGAAATTTGCTGGTCCACATTGACAAGATGTGCCCCTTTCGGGCTTGTGGGGTTCGGTGGGCTTCAGAAAGGTGGCTTACAATAGCAAGTGGGTCACGCGGATGGCACAAGAACTCGTCTAGACAATCACGGGCACGTCACAATGCGTGAGTTGTGGGAGGGCAATAACGTTGTTGTCGATTGAGGCTAGGGACTAAAAAGTCTGGAAAGAACGCCAAGACACTTCAAAGCACGCAGCTTAATGCCTCTGCATGGCAACTGGGCTCCGTAGGGCTCCGTAGGGCTCCACCAAAGCCAAGGCCGCAGCAGAGGGTTGCACAGCTTGGGATCCACGGCCTTCACGTCGGTCTCCCTGGGGATCTCGTGGATTGGTTCGGTTCAGTGGGTCCCTTGCCAACCTTGGATCCCTCCTCACTATGCCAGACTCTTTTTGTTGCTCTCTCTCTCTCTGTGCTGACTAAGCCCACGCCATGGGTATTTTCTATTGCGCTGTTGAGTTCTTACGAGTCAACCTGCAGGATCCACCCTGACCAGAGACAAACAAGCCCTGGGCAGTAGTGAAGTTCCTCACTGCATCAGTCAGTTCTGTTACTCCAAGCGTGTCCAAGGGCAAGCGCTTGCGCCGTTCCCCAAGGTGGATCAAGGTGTTTCGTCCAAAGCCAAGCGGCTTCCGGAAATCCTCGAGGAGTTGGTTGTACTGCTTCCGGTGCCTTAGATCGAAAGCGAGCTCAGCCCCCGAAGTGGGGGAGGTGGTGAATGAGGGCGGACGGGGCACCCAGCCGCACTCATGGAATAAAACCAACATAACTCAGTATCATTGAGCTCTGGATGCCATTGCTTGAGTTGGACTCTGGAGACTCAAGCTGCTATCTCTGATTTCATGCACAGCTACAGACTCCCTGTTGATACTCTAGCCAACCGAAAACCGAAGTCCAAGAAGTCCGGCATGTGTCATACCTTCAGTGGATGGTGCAAAACATCTCACGTAAACATTGGCAAACCTTTCAGGAAGTCCTGACTTCAAGCTCAATCTGTGCAGCATGGAACCAGTGGGCCAGCTGAGCCAGCCATGATGCAAGCGGTGGGCACAAAAGAATTCAGATATAAAATGGATCAATGCGCAATGTATGCAGGTACTGATGTGGCACATGTGCACTATGTACATTCATGTGTATCCTGTGTTATGCATATGTATACTACTCATTTCAGCTTGGTAGGATCAATCAGGAAGACCAAATCTTGACGCCCATGTCAATCCCCCTATGAGTTAGACCAGACCTTGCCCATCTTTTCTCTATAAAAAAACCTAGGCCCCCCCCCCACACTTTTAGCAACATTTTAAAACAGCACCTCAAAAAGCACATTTTCAAAAATCAACATTTTAAAGCAGGTAATTTCCTAGTAAGTTCATCCATATTTTAAAAGATATTTTTTTAAAAATAAATTTTAAAAAATAAATTTTAAAAAAATAAATTTTAAAAAATAAAATTTACAAAAAAAATAAAAAAAATAAATTTAAAAAAAATAAAATAAAATTCAAAAAAAATATTATTCCAAAAATTATGATAAATTATTTTACAATAAATTTTATCACAACTTTTGTAGACATATTACGGGCAAGGTCTGGTTCATTCGTTTTTTTACGGGCACCATTCTTCCTTAATTCTTTCTATTATTTTATCACACGTTGTTTCATTATAAATATTACTTCTTATTTGTTTTCTAAACATTCCCATTATTCCAATTGCACGTGTTATTGTATATCTAAGTTCGTGAGTTTTATACGCATCATTTAAAAACTCATTTAAAAAATCAAACAATATAACATATTTTAAACGTTTAATATTAAAAGAAACGTTATATAATTTTTTTACCATACTATAATACTTAAAAATAAAATCATTATTATATCCTTCGTCATCACACTCAGTTAGTAAATTATCAAACCCTTCTATAGTTAAGAAATTATTCATTACAATAAACACAAATATTTCTAAATCATCATCAAGAGTTTCATTATTTATAATATCAATATCTTTGTTATTCATATCATCAATTTTGTTTATAATTCTATTGCAATTATTGCATATCATGTATTGACAAATATTATTACAAACGCCATTTGTAAAACCGCGTTCAATTGGTAATTTTAGCATTTCACAGTCTTTGCATTTATAACTCATAAACCTTTTTTTCAATATATTTTTAGCATCGTGGACTGTATCACTCATCAAACTATATAATAGTATTATAAAATATTTCTTTAAATACCTTTTACAAGAATTTTAATTTTAAATTAAAATTAAATTAATAAATTAAAATTATAATTATATTATCATAATTAAATTAAAAATTATCATCATTTACAACTACAATTACATAATTTACAAAATGGGATGATATTTTCTATTGTATGAGTTAGTTCATTATCTTTTCGTTGTGCTGTTAGATTTGTAATGATATTACCATTTTTCATATCAATAGTAAAACCACATCCGCAGTAATTACATTGATTATTTATATTATCTAAAAACCATTGAGTATTTACATAACCTTCTCTAGGTATGCTTCTTTTTGCTTTCCTGTCTTGTTCCTTATAATTCAAAATTTTCCTTTCAAAATAACTCATAATACATTTTTGATTAAATACATCATCAACATCCTTTGTATATTTATAAAATTTGACTTTGTTTAAATCACGAGCACGTGTTACCGCTGTAAAAATCCATTCTGGATAATTATTTACCAAAAAATGATTATAATCAAAAATTGTTATGGTGTCATCAATGCTACTACCTTGAGTAGAATGACATGTAGAGCAAGAAGAAAATATAAAATTGCTTCTTATTTTAGCAACTTCTACGGATTGTAAAATTTCGGTTTTTACAACTATTTTATACTTGAAATTTACATTAAAAACTGATGTTTTAGTTTTAGTATATTCTCTACAAATTAAAAATTCCCCTACTTCATATTCATCCTTTCTATTTTCTAACTTTCTAATTTCATTTGATACATTTTTACAGGTTGTATTCAAAAATGCTATGTTGTTTTTGGAACTACTTATGTCTGTGGTGTATTCAAAATATTTTTCAATAATAGTTTTAATTGGTAATTTATTAATAAAAATATCATATTTTATATTCTTGAGTTTATCCTTATCTTCCTGTGTGTTAAGTCTCTTACATTCTTTCAATATTATATTATGTGTAAAAATATTATCTATAATATTGTCAGTGTATAATTCATAGTCTTGAGTATTTGTTATTTCTTGCACTGGTTTTAATTGCTTGGTGTCTCCTGTTGCTATTATAATTTTGTTGTGCTTATTCTGTTCTACAAATTGTTTTATTCTCCAGTACATATTTAAATTGCTAAAATAGATTTCATCAAATACTATTACATCAAATTCTGTAAAATCAAATGGTTCTAATTTAGCATCTCCATAATTAATACCAAAGAATTTATTTATCGTCATTGCTTCTCCTTCAAATGCCTGTAATAGTTTATTAGTAGGACAAATAAAAATTACCTTATAATTTTTATCAACCATTTTTTGACACATATATGATTTTCCTGTGCCCGGTAGTTCACCTCTGATCATAATAGGATTATTATGTTTAACAATCTCTATAATGTTATCAGTGTCGTATTCATCTTTAATATCAATAGTTTTACTTTCATAAACTGGTATTTTTATTAATTCATTATTTACAACGTTAAATTTTACTGTAGGTAAATTAATTTCATCTCTCTGCTTTGAAACTTTCCAACCTCCTATATCATCATGAAATTCTAATAATTGCTTTGTTTTTTCTTCATTGCATGTATCAATTACAAAAGCATCTGTTTTTACACTATATATATTAATATTATTAGTTATTAGTGTCTTAAAGTCTTGGTTCATTTTAAAATTGTGATGTTGTAAAAGTAGTTCTTTAATATATCTATATCCGTTTCTTAATACTGCCTTATCCTTCAAATTCAATATATAATATGATGCCTTTACATCCCATTCATCCTCATCAAATCCATAATATGTTGTAGTTGCGCCTCCTTCGTCGTCATATTCGGTTATCATTTCGGGATATTCGCTTATAATATGCGATAACTTATTAATTTTACCTCCGTATTCTGTTTGATAATGGACTGCTTCATCAATACTTTTAAATAAAATACTTTGATGTGCTGTAGCACCTCCTTTTTCTAATAATCCAAAATTTACATTTGCTATTAACTTTTTAATTAGTTTATCTAATGCTTCGTCATGTTCATCTATATTTGTTTGTAAAAGCTCATTAATACTATTTGTATATTCAACCTTATGAATAAATGAAGGTTGTTTATAATATAAAATATTGATTTTGTGTGTCTTATTCTCATTGATGAATTCCTTCAAAAACTTGCCATATACTAGATTATATTTTTTGTTGAAAAATAAGTTGTGATTACCACTTATTACAATGTTTTTAATTGCTTGTTTTAATTCATCAGGATTTAAAAACAAACTTAAATCATGTGTTTTACGAAATTCTATATAAGTAGCAACGTCAATACCTTTACTATATGCAATAGAATATATCATCTGCTTGGTGTGTTGATTTTTCTCTATTAGTTCCTTAATGCTGTCCATTGTTGTTTTTAATGGTCTTACATTTGCATCTATAGTTTCAACATAATATAAAGTTAATTCATGGAGTTCATCTATGTTAATTTCATCGTTGTATTTTTTCCAATGGTCAAACTGGTTAAATACTGGTATTTCCCTAATATTTAAAAAACCTTTAGTAAATGCTTTATTTACATCTATTTCTGTTTTATAAACTAAATTGATATTACTCAATAATAACCCCGAAGGTGCTATACTTCTTGTTTCATTTAATATTTTAATATCAATGTCGTTATAAAAGGATTTATGCGATGACATGAATAAGGATTTATTGAAATTAAACATTGCTTTGTTCATATTGTTGTATGTAGTTTCATTGCTAACTGCAATCCATCCATCACCGGAAGATTTAATTAAATTTTGAGTTTTTATGATATATGTTATCTTGTTCAATCTTAATCTTATTTCATCAATAATACCTGTGTATTTAATTCTGGGTTCATATCCAATATTCAACAACTGGAATAATAATTCTGCCAAATTATTATTTTCAGGCACTAAATATATTTCCTTTGTTTTATCATCAGTTTTAATTTTAAGTATATCATCTATACATTTAATCATTTTGTATTGTGGCGGTTCTTCTCTTTCATTTATATAATAATCAGTGTGTGCCTTTATAGTGGGTAGTTTTGTTATTAATTGCTTCTGTTGTATCTTACTTAAATCATGGTTTAATGTATAAATATGGTTATTTTTCACCATTGCGTAAAAGGTTTTTATATGGTGGTTTCTTTTTTCTGGTTCATATTTATAAATAACTTCATTTACAAAATTGAAAATTCTAACTTGAATATTAAACTTTTTGAATACTGCTTCCATTTCTTGAATGGTTGCTCCTACCTCCTTAAAATCATCCCTACCTATGATTTCAATAATTTTGTCTCTGGTTAGTCTGTTGCGGGTTCTTTCATTCATGATTGTATCACTGTAAAAATCAGTTAATGAATTTATCCAACATTCATTCTCTATATAATTACCTTTCTTGATTGCCTTTTGTATAGTGCCCTCACTCATTTTAATAGGTGTGTATATATTTAT